AGATGTCCAACGTATCGCATCACAACAAATGCTGGAAGTGGCCGCCCCCTTCCTGCAGGCACCTGGCAACCTGGCGCTCCATGTTTGCGAATGTCTCAATTAGCTGAGCGTGGCTGATGTCGTCAATTGCAGCGGTGATGTTCGCTTTCAGTTGCTGGAGTGTGCGTGGTTTATTGGCATAGACCTTTCCCTTCGACATGCCCCACAAGAAGTCTGGGGGACTGAGATCTGGAGACCTTGGTGGTCATATTCTTTTGGAGATCATGCGATCTTCGAAAAAGCTGGTTATAACTGACAGACCTTTTGGACGTGTGACAGTTCTTGTTGGAAGTAGCCACGTTGTAACTCGATGTCGTCCAACTGATTAACAAATGTGTCGATAATTTCGCAATACACGTCTGTGTTCACCGTCGTTTCAAGGAATATGGGCCTATGACGCGCGTGCGCGACATGGCGCAACACACTCCAATCTTGAGGTCATGAAGCGGATGTTCATGAATCGCATGTGGATTCCCTTCGGCCCACAAGCGCGTACTCTGCGAATTGACGTATCCAGACAGGTGGAACCACGCTTCGTCTGAGAAAAATGTTATGTCCAGGATGTCATCGTTTTCAGCCACGAAGGTCTGAAACCAGTTGCAGTATGACACCCTTTTTTTGCGAAATCGGGCCCCTGCAGTTCTTGCACTACGGACACTCGATACGGGCGAATGCTCCCTTTTTTTGCTGCTCTGTGGCAAGTCGAAGGTGACATGCCAATTTATTGGGACAGTCGCCGTAAGGACTTGCTTGGTGAGTTAAGCAACCTGTTACGCACGTCCTGCACTGTTTCCTCGGTCATTGCGGGACGGCCGCCCCCGTGGACATTCACCAACGTGCCTGTTGTCTCCAGTTTTTTCACCATCTTCTGTATCGCACTTTTCGACGGCGCTGCAACATTAAACCGTTTTCTGAAATTCGAGCGCGTAACCTTGAGTGAACCCGTAGTCCAATATGATTTGACCAAGAACACTTTCTGCTCAATCGTGTACATGTTTACCGCAAAGAGACTGGCCGCGAACTGAGCTTATCAGGGGGTGGGGAACTCAACGTCGGAAGTTGGCGACGGTTCCTATTGCGGCCGCAATGCGGCGCCACGCAATTCTGCTCAATCGTGTACATGTTTACCGCAAAGAGACTGGCCGCGAACTGAGCTTATCAGGGGGTGGGGAACTCAACGTCGGAAGTTGGCGACGGTTCCTATTGCGGCCGCAATGCGGCGCCACGCAGGCGAGACATGCCGAAGTCGTGTTGCATTTAAACATGTCTCTTTCCATGTCGGTACTCCCGTAGTTGCAACAGTCTTGTTTGTATATTATGCCTGTAGTAAACGATAACTCGGAGCCTCCTACGAGTGAAACACCCTGTAGCTATGGTTCACATGGTGAGTTGATCACTCCAGCGAAGCCTTCCTTGGTTTGGGTTAGGGGTGGAAAGTCGCCAAAATTATATTCAGCTTTATATATTACGAATGCACATAGGACTAGAAGTACAGCACAGCAAGGTAAGGCAGACACAAAGGACACAAAAAGTGAGACGCACAAAACATAAGGACGGGTCAGAAATTGGCACGAAGTCAGGCGATTGCTTCCGGGTCCGCACTGTGCAGTTTCGTAAGACCACCGGGAAGTCCCTCACGGACAGCACAGCCGGCCAGTATATGGACAGCGTTCTCGACCGCACCACAGCAACAGTGTGGATTGTCACGGAGGCCCCACTTGTAGTCTGTGTCAACGCAACGGGTCGTATTGCAGAGAAAACGGTTGATGTTAGCCCATAGGTGTCGAAGTAGGTTGAACCCAGCAACGCGGTCCTCTGGGTTGGTGATGAGGTAGAAAATCTTGGGGCTGGCTCTTTCCCTCTCTGAGCGCCATCTGTCCGCAGTGGTGGGAGCTGTTGAAAGTTGTAGAGCTTCGTCCATAAGGAGTGTCTAGAAGTCAGTCTCAGGGCGGGGGGGTTCCAGATGTCATCATGGATTGGGAGTTGGGGATCTGTTCCCGCCGGAATAGCAGCTTGCGCAGTGCCTTTTCGCGTCGGATGTTGAGAGGGGGAATGTTGGCAAGAACTGGGAGCCCTGCCAGATCGGTGGGTCTCATGCACCCAGTGATCGCCCGCATGGTCTGGTTTAGCCGTGTATCCACCTGCTTGACATGTGCAGAGTACATCCAAACGGGGGCGCAGTACTCTCCGGTTGAGTAATAGAGTGGCAACCCAGAGTTGCGCAGTGTCTGGTCATTTGCACCCCATGTAGAGCCTGCCAACTTGCCGAGGAGCGAGTTCCGACTTTTAACTTTCTGTGCAGTCTTTGTCAGGTGGTCTTTGAAGGTGAGTGTCCTGTCTAGGGTAACACCCAGTGAAACTGGCTAGGGGGCATGAGCCAGTTTCTTCCCATTCATAAAGATCTTGAGTACATGGGAGCTCTGGGCGTGGTGAAAGCGAAAACGACTTGAGACAATCTTGCTCACACTTGGTTTTAGCCTCCATTTCTTGCAATAGGCAGCAATCTCAGACATGTCACTGTCCAGACTTCCTCAATTTCATGAATTCCTGGCTCCTAATAGCCATGCAGATCTCATCGGCATATATGAACTTTCTGGAGATTGTCTCAGGCAGATAGTATGTGAAGATATTGAAGAGAGTCGGCGCCAGGACTAAGCCTTGAGGGAGGCCAGCTTTTTTAGATTAATTTGGTCCGATTCAGCTTCATACAGAGCTCACTCAAGTGAATGGTAAGGGGGTGTGGGATGGCCATCTACAAAGAGGATCACGGGCAAGTAAATTTTTTGTGCGACAAGGTGGAGATGGAATACATGGAGGATACCCGACTACAACCAGCCGGTTCTTGAATGATCGATCCCTAACCATCTGGCACAGACTTGGCAATGTCGCTAGGGAGACGAACATATTGATAGGTCCAAGTTATATGGCGAATAATGAATGCGAGTCGAAAATGGAATGCCTTTTTATACCGCCTGCTCGGCGGAAATGTGAAAAGAGCGGAAGAAGGGGGGAGGGGCGTTAATATGTTTCAAAGATGTATCAGTCTCTAATATACGTATGGCCAACATATGGAACCTTTAAAAACCTCATTCGCAGCCAGTTTTTGGCCTGGTGGCCAGTAACTGAATGAAGCAGCATCGACAACCACAGATACTGGCCACCGAGCGGAGTTTCGTTTTAATGAAAGAACAAATAAGTATCAGAACTTGTCGTTTATTCAAAATGGACACGAGAACATAGAACTCCCCCGTATTAAGAACGTTGGGCAGGAAATAAAGCTATTGAAGCGGAGCGGTTGCTTAGCACAACCGATGAGGAAACTTACCGTTTACGTGCGCCCTTCGAAAAACAAAACGCTGACAGGAATCCCATACGGAATAGACATTTCGTGAGAACAATGAGAAAAACGAGTAATTGGTCCTCGTATGGAAATATTTTGCTAGAATGCGTGGAAACGGCCAGATGAACTAAATATGCTGCATTTGAGCCTCATTGGCCAAGAACTGAAGACCGGTCAATTACCGCAGTGTTTACCTGTATGACTTCGTATGGAAAAGATAGATCCCCCGTTTTGCGTATGAGAAGAACCCACGCAAAATAGACATGGCTGCCATCGAAGGAGGCACTTACCATATCCTCTTTCCGGAGAGGACTTCAGTTCTCGGCTTGACCGGTTTTGGCCGGCGACTTATTCCTCCTGTGCCGGGGTGACACCTGTCCTCAAAAATTGGAAGCTACAACGCGAGCTCAAGAGCGCTCTGCGCCTTCCTCTCAGAACGGCCCCGCCTCATTTGTAGTCGTGCTTGCCGTGAGTGGAAGATGCATTCGTGAGTTTCTCAAGCTATATTGTTATATGGGAATCGTCGGGGTGTCGTTTCATCATTCTACTATAGTAGAGATCATGTGGCAGTGCTATTGAATGCTTAGCATGAACACACGCACGATAAAGGCGTTTCACACGTCACACGCATTCCCACACTTTCCAATATGCACCCTGCACTACTCGATGTTTTCCATTAATCTCGATGCAGCCCTCACGTCCTTGATACAGGAGATATTCCATATGTCCTTCCTATGAAAGTACAGGCATTGGGGGAAGATCGCAGGACTGCAGCGAAGTAGCCGCATCACCGCTCGAGAGTAGGTATTTTCGAGGCATGATCGAGGAAAGAAAGTGAGAAATGAGGCAGATGCCAACAGGGAAAGCGGTGCCGGCTTTCGGCTTCCTCGCCGTCGGCCTCCTCATGACGTGGGACACCCTGGCGAGGTGGCACCGGAGTCGTCTGGATCCTGCCGCAACCCGGTACCGAAACTCACTGCGATTCATCCCGGGCCGATTGCCGCTGGATTACCTCTTCATCGCCGTCACTTGCCTCGCTGGAATCATAGGTATGGCTTAAAGACACTCTTTTATGACAAGGTTCTGGTTCATTGAATGCCAATGCTTTTAGCGTTTGTTGCTGTTGGAAACTTGGATTTTGGGATCGATCTCGTGTGTGCATTTTTTTTCAGAAGTGACTGCATATCGTGGAATGGGGTTCGTGGGGTTTCAACATGCCGGAGGTTATCTTGGGTTCTTCTTCCTCGCTCTCGTCGTGATTGGCAAGGAGTGCAAATCGGAAGCGATTCCTCCCAATGCAGATTATGCTGCCTCCATCCTCGCTCTATCCCTTCACTATATTCTCTTGGAATTTGTGGACTATCGGGTTCCCTTGGAGAACAGGGTAACAAATAAAAGTTCCAGATGGAGTGGCTCACTCCATCGTTCTTACGTCATTCACTTTTCTTTACTTCCTTATAGTCCGTTTCGGCCTTGAAGTACGTGATCCTCACCTGCATCGTGGCCTACTCGATAGAGATGCTCAAGCCGCATCATATCACGGTAGGGCTATTCCGATGCTATGCCGTGCTTCTGCAAGGGACGTGGTACTCGCAGATGGCATACATCTTCTCCCGGAGACACACCACTTGGGACTTCGAGAGCCTGGAAAACGTGACCACTGCCACAGTCAGCTTCATCTTGCAAGTCGTCCTCTCGGCCGCCTTCATCCTCGTCCTCAGCTTCGTCATCGGTCGACATCTGAGTTACGAGACGAAAAGATTGAACCTCTCAGAGCCCAGTGATCCTCAGGTGTGGCGCATTCCTTTTTACTTGCGTGGTCGTCGAATGTCTCCCTACTTCTCTAAGCGTTTTAAGAGATTGGTCACGTAGATTCCTTTATCTTACCGGCGCATTTTAATGCCCTTGTGAAAGGTCATTTCGACATGAGAGCAGTTGTTGTGCAAAAAAATCCCACATCCTCGATCGAACATAGTGTTTCATTCAGGCTTCAGTGCTGGACTGTGTCGCAAAATATGTGGTGGTGGCAATTTTTTTTTAATTATAAATTGTTCATTGCATTCAGAAAAGCGAAGGCTTTCTTTTCTCCAAATGCTATCTCCCCCCTCCCCGGTCTCTTCTTGTGGAAGCACTTCTATTCCTTTTTTTTTAGGGGGGGGGGTGAAAGAAATTAAAAAAAAATTGTGTGGGAAAATTGAGCCGAAAATCCGAAAACTCAATCATAAGCCGAGATGATATTTAATAAATCCAGACAGTCATGCAAAAGAAGAGGGAGTATTTACGAGATATATCAGGAACGATGACTGACGATCCATCCTCTTATTGGAGGGACACCACACTGACAACTTTTTTCCTTCAGAATTTCCTATTTCAAAGGTGAACATTGAAACGGGACTGCGTTCGAGATGAAAAGACACAAATAAGGAAAATGCGATTCAGTTGCCATGCGATCGTAGATAAGAGGAAAGCTCAATGAGTAATCTCTAAGACGAAACTCCTTCGTGATTCGAAGAACGGCATGGTAATGCCGAGTCATTTGAGGGATGTTTTTTAAACACTTCCACGTTCCTACGCGACAGCTGGTTCAAACAATTTATTAGGCATGAGTACTAAATCAAAAGAGAACTAAATGTATGAGTACTAAAAAAGTACTAAATGCATGCATTTTATCTTTCACTTCTGCAGGCGGTGAAGCATGAGAACACTTTGCGACGACTGCCCTTTTTCCTTCGGCTGTAAAGTTGGCTAAATTTCCCACCTTATTTCAGCCAGCTGCATTTCAACTACGGAATGAATTGTTCACATCGGGTAAAAAGCCATAAGGTATCGCAGTCGTAGCAGAAATACGACCTTCAAAATTTGGCACTGTCGTTTCGGCAATAAGCACATCCAACAAAGAGACGCATCTCCGACATTCCATCGCTTAACTGACAATTTGCTAACCGAATGAGAGCACTGCAACGACTGCGAAAAACAAAGAGCGATCGGAAATTGAGCAATATCGAATTCCTTCCGAGGTGAAAACGAAGTGCTCGGTCATCGAAGACGGAAGCAGCGAGTCCTGACGGCCGAGGTAAATCCAACGAGTCCCGCCTCGCAGCGTTTCTTTCGACGTTTCCTGTGGAAACGGGAAGGCCGAGCGAGCCGATTTTGGCTGGTGTCTGGGTTTTTCGCGCTTGGCGGAGGGACGATCGACTGGCGAAGTCGGACGTTATTCATCGTAATCGAACCGTTTCTTAGTGTGAGGTCGATGAATCCTTTGGACTGCGTCCCGGTGCATCTGTTAGAACAAAAGCGAGGAATATTTGAATTTTTTCCGGACGATTGCGTCATCGAGGATTGGATGAACTTCGTCATCTCGTTCGATTCACGCGACAGACTACAGATTCTCACCAGGTGAAACCGGCCCTCCGTGAAACAGGAAAGTAAAACTGCAGCACGACCATCACGGGCACCAGGCAAAGATCATTCCGACAAACGAATGAGACCAATTGCACACTGGTGATATCAGGAGACGGGGACATTTCCCTAGCCCCTGCAAAGCCGACTAGTCCTTATTAACCTTAAGCGGTCCCCCCCCCCCCCCCTACCAACGACCTGGCGGACCGCCAGGTCGGCCCCCAATGAGCGATCAATGAGGTGCTAGAGCTTGGTTCGACTCGGTAGTCGCTGCTTAGACGAGGCCGATGTAAGTGGCCTCCCGTTATCACGGGTTTGCTGCGCGGCGGGGGTGGCGCCAACTCGCGTCATGTGGTCCATCCAACCCAGACAGTTTTAAAAAATTAATTCATGGTCATATGCACTTCGGTAAATACATTCGTATGCAATCGATACAGGTCGCAACATCATCTAAGAACCAAATGATGTACGAGCAGATCGTCCATGGCGTTTCTCCTCGAATTCTATTTCGTGCGATGGATCGAATAATCGACAGAGGACGATTCTGCTCCTTCGTTAATGGATGATTGACGTGTCATTCATGACAATTTCCAGTATTACCCAGAATTGAAGTTAACCTCATGCGATGCGGATAATACAAACCCTTCCCGAAGCAGGAAGTCGTCCCTCTGACAGATGCACATCAACACATTAATTTCCGATGGACGTTATTTTACGTGAAGCCCTAGCCAGCGTCGGACGAAGGTGGACGCAATAGTTCGTCCTATTAAAATTGTCAAAATTTTGCACAATTTTTTCGCAATAAAATAGAGGCCTTATACTTCAGTTTCCAAAAGACAGGAAGTCTCTAACATTTTGCGTCCGAAGTTATAGACTTTTTTTGCAGACGTCAAAAAACTTTTGTCACACCCTCTCGAGCGAAAGTGTTAATATCGCAATAATGGCTACTAATGAAAGTTTTCTTACGTTTTTCTCGACTGGAGTAATGCAAGGGAATACGAATATTCCTCCTAGTTACCTTTAGTAGGTTGAATGGATGGAATGGTATAGTATAGAGGGACGTCTCGTAAATAATTTTTCCTTTTACTGCCAGGTCAGAGGTGACTTCAACGATCTATGCTGAAATCATTTATTCTGGAGGCATGACCACGTGCCCACCACTGCACTCTCGTCGCAGCGCAAATATATCAACGCACTATGGACTCTGCGAATTTTCATCGTCCCGCATTAAGGCGGAAGCCCTGGCCTTCCTTTAAATCGGGTCGAGGCGAAGGGGCTTCACGGATGGTGCCTCCCTGCCCCTCCTCCCCTTCCTCCCCCTCGGAACTCGCTCCGATGGAAAGCTTCTTTTGCAACCAGGGAACCTCCAACAGGATCCTATCAGATCGAGGGGACCAGCTTCTCCCCTTTTCCCTATTCCCTTTCACTTTCCGCGTTCTGCATTGGATCGTCTCGAGATGTCGGTGCGGTCGCACCGTTTCAAAACATTATGTCGATTTCCGAATTTTTTAAAAATATTTTGTCAATTGGGCGCATGTCACTCCGAATTTCTTGCACCGTTCTCCTGCTTCAGATGTGCTCTTCGATGCACACAAATGAGATTTGAAAGAAGACTTATCATAAATTGAATAAATATGCCGCCTCTCATTGCAGTTTATTCACTCTGGAATCGTGTTAACAGACCGTTCTCTCCTTGTAAGACCTGTCATGGGAGTGACAGACCCATGATGAGAGGGGCCATAAACCTCGTCTCCATTTTTCTAAAAGCTGACAATTATTTTCCCTCCCTGATTCCTCAACATTCCTCGCCTTGAGCATGGTAGAGGGGGCTCTTGTCCTCAGTTTTTTCATTGTAAGGATCAGACATCACTCTGCATAGGAAGATGGGTTTTAGGGAATCCATCATTACAGGAGTCCTAACGCGCTCATGGCCACGATGCAACATCCTCACGACCCTTTCCTTCAAATTTTCCTCTGAACAATTGCAACTTCGAGATCAATATTGCCTTTATTGCCCAATCTATTACCTTTCTCAAACCACTTCCCGCAGAAAAACTCAACCACCTCGTATTCCTCTCTGAGAGCATCAACAGGAAAAATATTTGGCATACTTCTTCCTTTCTCACCACAGAATCGCCACAGCAAATTTGAAACTCCATTTCCCCGGGGCTGTGGAGAACGCTGAATCACGTTTTTGGAGGATGTGAATTTCATTCAGTTTTTTTTTCTACCCCCCCCCCCCGGCGGGTAGTCACTCCTGAGGGGTTTTCGGAGGAAAGAGACCAAGCATAAGAAAGATATTGACTCGTAGATGACGAAAAGTGCGTTTTGTTGCTTGCGATGCTCCAATTCGCCATAAGAAATGAAATTAGCTATTGTTCAATTAGGCTTAGAGTGCTTGCTCCACTACCGTGCCCCAGTGTTGCCGGGTACCGTGCCGAATTAAGCCAGATTCAAGACTGTTTCTACCTTCGTATTGGCGTCTGGATCTTCTGTTTTTTTTATGCATGATACATTTTTGTGCTGAGTTCATGAGTTGAGCTGAAAATGAAGCGGTGCTTACCAGTTATTGATCAAGGGATTGAAAGAAAGGGAAAGCCATTGATAATTGGTTTTCGCCTTACTTCATTCCCCTTTGATCTGTTTCTTCCCCGCCTACGACCATCTACCTCCTCCTCGAGACACAAGCTCCTCTCCGGAAAGGATACTTTCTACGCCTATACAATTTCCTCCCTGAAGTCTCGCTTCATTCAGGATGACCCCCCCCCCCCCTTCTCTGCCCTGTCTGTGACAATGTTTAGCAAGTTTTCGGTCTAGCCTGCATATAAAAACACCCTCCAAGAAAGAGATGAATACTGCCTCCAAGATGGCTCATCGGATGAATGGAAACACCGAGTGAAACTTCTTCATGAGCGTCAGAACATCTTTGTTTGCACGTGGACAGGGTCTGTGAATAGTAAGATCTCCACCCATCTTCAGGAAAATTGTTCTGGTCACAGCACATTTTCATTTTCGAACATGATATTCAATTATAATGCCCGAAGAATCCATGCCACATGGAGCAGCTCCCCTCCATCACGTTTCCACATTTTACTATGTGGCCTATTTTCGAATATATGCAAAAGAATCTCACGAATTATCAGAGCGGCTTCCGGATTAAATTAATGCATAAAATCAAGTCAATCAAAATGGACGAAACAAATGGGCAATGGATATGATCCACGTCGGGAAAGACAGCTGGGGAATGAGACGGCAATAGCCAATGCAATGACCAATTGGTTTTAAAAAAAGTATTATATGAAATTGAATGCGCTAACATACACATTCAATTTCAGAGGCGCTATTTATTTTCCCCTCGTATATGGTACAAATGCTGAACCTGGAGAGTGATGTACTATGAATCCCTGTAAGGATTGAAAACAAAAACTCTCAGAGGCACATCATTCAAAGATATTCCTTTGTTCGAATGAGGAAAAGAAGAAAAAGATTTCCAGGAATCAGGGAAACGTCACATTTCACTTGCTGATGCCTGAAGAGAACTGAAAAGTGGAATAAGCATCAT